ATATATATATATATATATATAATTAAATATATGTTTGAATATATAAGTCACATTTAAAATTTGTTTAAATAGAAATTTTAAAACATACAAATTATGTTCTAAGTCTATGATAAATAATTTATATTATAACATAGTAATATATTTAATTATTGATTATTTATTTTTAAGATATTAAAATTTAATTAATAGATAATTCTGAAATAAAAATTAAATTAGATAAAATATAAAAAAATTTGTAAAAATCTTTTTGTCAAAACAAAACTCCTAAAAATAATCTTGTGTAAGATAAATATTCGTGTTTAATATATAGAAATTTAATGATTAATTATTATACATGAAATAAGATAAATATTATATTATGTTATCATATTCTGACCATCAAACAAATGATAAGAGAATTAAAGACAATAAGATAATAGAATGTTTTTATTTTATTTTATTTTTATGCTCTTAATTAAAAAATACAAATGAAATATGTTAATTAAATATAGATATAAAACTATAGCTCAAAAGATGTATAAGAAAATTGAGTTTGATTCAATTATGTGCAAAAACTTGTTAGAACAATAATCATCATAATATTACAAGTGAAATTAATCTCTAATTTAGTGAGTTGAAAATACTTATAACATGAATAATAAACATTTATTAAGAATTATAACTCACAAAATAATATAAAATAACAAAAATTTAAACTTATACTCATAAATATATTAGCAATTATTATTTTTATATAATCGATAACAATGAAAATAGTGTAATTTTGAGAGTTTAGAGCCAGGACATTTAGATAATAGTTGAAAATTTTTATTTTATTTCTATTTGAAAGGCGAGAACTTTGCTCTGAATTAAAAAGTTAAGCTTAACATAGTATTTAGTTAAAGAAAAATAAATAAAGGAAAGAGATGATTTTTATTATTTTTTTTTTGGAAGGAAAATAATAAAAGAGAACAAAATCTCTCCCCATTTAAATTATTTTCTTCCTTCCTTCTAATGTCAGAAGATTTAGAAGAATGAAAATAGATTTTTAAGTTTTTTAAATATAATATATAAGAATATAAAAAAAATCTCTTTTATTGTAAATCAATGAAGAAAATCCCTCTTTCTCCGGATTTTGTTATTTTATTTTATTTTTACTTTTTCTTTTTTAAGAAGACGGAATACTAATAAATTAATAACGGCGGGATCCTAAAGTGACACTGACGAAAAAGAAAAAGAAAGAGGCGGTCTTATCAGTTTGGGTAAATTTGGAATGGGCTGAGATGATAGGCGCGAAAAGCGAGCCCGAAAAGAAATTGGGCCTTTGAAGAAGAAGGAAGGGGGCCCATTGGATGCAGATACGATAAATGGAGGGAAGAGTGAAAAGGATGCACGTTAGCTGAGGCTGAGGCTGAGCCTGAGAGAGCAAAGTAACAACAACACAGGACACCCCAACCTGACATCTGTTTTTGTAAGTAAAATCTTATTGTATTGGCCTCGCCGAGTCGAGTTAAAACTCACCCACCCTAACTCGTTCTTCCCCTCTCTCTCTCTTTCTCTTTTGGTTGTATCTGTGAGCTACCCTCGCCTCGCACATCCCTATCTCATCTATTCACTCGCTTCCTTCTGCCACCCCTTTCGCCATTCACATCCTCTTCGGTATCCCTCTTTCTCTTCTCTCGCTCTCGCTCTCGCTCTCGCTCTCGATCTTTCTTTTCCCCCTTTTGCATGCTCTTTTTCTCTTCACGCGCCAATACCGCCTTATCTTTAACTCTTTCTGCTTCTCTTTTATCCCAATTTCCAGATTGAGATTTTTTCGCGTCTGCCTCTTCCACAATTTTAATGACAAACCCTCTTATTCCCAGCTGTTTTACAGAATAATAGGCTTTCGTCGTGTGAATTCTGATTCTTCTTCGCTTTGATTATGAATCTGAAATTTCATAGGAGAACATCGTCTCAGTGGCCAATTCATTCAACATTTTTTTTATGGTTTTATTGAAAGACCGAGCAATTCGTTTGTTTTGCTTTATGCATATCATGATGTAGGGTTTTTGTTTTCCTCTACGTGTAAGTGTGTGAGAGCATCATATGCTAATGCTATATCCTCAGGGCATGGGTCGCGTGAAATTTTATCAACTGTTTGAACACACTGTGCTGGGATGGGTTTCTATTCATACTTTCAGCTGACTGAGGGGTTCCCTTTTATTGCAATTGAAACCCCGTCTTATGATATTCATTAGCTCTAGAATTGATTAGGTTGTTTTCCCGTTTGTTGCAATTGAAACCCCGTCTCATAGTGCTGTACAAATAATGTTTTCTTGGTGTTGTTACTTTAAGATTGCTTTGGATATTTAAAACTTGATGTTTGATGATTAATTGGAACTGCATTTGTTTTTCCAGAATTGTGTGTGATGTACATGCCAACACCTTCCATAGTTGAATGATGGCTGTTGAGACTTCCGATAAACCTAATGTACCACGTGATTTTGATGATGATGAGGATGGGATAATTTTCAAAAGATACACATCTAAGAAAAATCAGTTGCATTCAGAAGCAAGGAGGTCAAGTTGTCACAGTCATGATGGACAGAATTCTAATGCACCTTCTTCGAATGGCCAAACTTCTAGCGTGCAGAAAGGTAATACTGTCCTATGTGCTAAGCCATCGTCCATGAAACCTTCTCTAGGTATCTCAAAAGCTTCAAATTCTCTTGTCAACTCCTCCTCTGTGAAGCTGCCTGTAGCAAATTCAAAATCACCTTCATTGGGAGAAAAAACAAAGCCTCTTTTGGAACAGAAAATGCCCATTGACGTTAAGGAGGAACCAAAATCTATCGAACATTCTGCTAAAGTTGATTTTGAAGATTCAGAAGATGATGAGGATAATAAGCCGTTGAGTTTTAGGTTGATAAACTCTAACCATGATAAGAAAGCAACCCCTGCTGTTGTCAAGAAATCTTCTGAAGACTCTGATGATGATGATGTCCCTTTGGCAAAAAAGATACTCCGTAATTCCATTTTGGGAACAACTAGCAGTAACCACGATGACTCTGATCAGAAAAAGCCTATCATGAAAATTCAGAAAGATCGGCAAAATGGTTCTGGCACGAGTAATAAACAGGATAAGCCATCTTCATTGCCAGCTAAGAGACCATTAGATAATAGTAATTCCTTGCACCCCTCTGTTAAGAAGCCAAAGGTCTCAGATCCAGCTGCATCTATAAAAAAAAAGCCAATCCCTGTGAAACATGAGCTGAAGGCAGAGGAGGATGATGATGATGACATTCCTATTTCCCAGAGATTAAAGAAATCATCCATGTCGGGTGATAAATCATCTTCCACTAAGAAGGTGTTGTCAAAGGTCAATAAAGTTAACAAGTCTGGCTCAAAACCTTTTAAGAAACAGGCCAAGAAGACGTTTAAAAAAGCAGGCAAAGATTCAGAATACTCCAAATCTACTAAACTTCTTCCTAGCTCTGGTGATGGGCAGAAAAAATGGACTACTTTGGTTCACAATGGTGTCATTTTTCCTCCTCCATACCAGCCACATGGGGTAAAGATGCTCTTCAAGGGGAGACCAGTTGATTTGACTCCTGAGCAAGAGGAGGTGGGATTTTATCTCTGAAGACTATGGTCTTTAGATTTTGCGTGACTGTTTGCTCTTGTTCCTTTCTCTCGCTCTCTATGATTTGGGATCATTTAAGTACTTTTATTGATTTCTGAAATCAACTTCAAGATTTTGACAATATTATGAAATTCAAATTATTTTGCAGGTTGCTACAATGTATGCAGTCATGCGAGATACAGAGTACATGCAGAAAGATAGGTTCAAGGAAAATTTCTGGAATGACTGGCGGAAGTTGCTTGGAAGAAATCATATAATCCAGAACTTGAAAGATTGTGATTTTACTCCAATCTATGATTGGTACCAAAGTGAGAAGGAAAAGAAGAAACAAATGACTACAGAAGTAAGTTGGTAATGTTGTATACATTTCATTTGACCATAGTAGAAATATCTACATTAGAGCATCCATTGCTTTTTTAAGCGGATTTTGTATTTATTTCCAATATATTTATTTTTCTTATGTGATGTATAGTTGTCTTAACTAGTATAGTTTTGTATTAATGTTAAAATATAGTACTGCATGTTGTTGATCATACAGCAATTGTAATTTATCTTACAAAATACACACATTATATTATGTATATATGTATTTGAATTGTGCCAAGTTTGTGCTGAGTTTGCCTAAGAGGTTAATTCATGTCTTATTATTTTTGTACTGAACTCATTTGTCTCTGTTTATGCAGGAGAAGAAGACTTTAAAGGAAGAGAAAATGAAACAAGAGGAGAAATACATGTGGGCTATTGTTGATGGTGTTAAAGAAAAGGTTTAGTCCCCTCTCATTTGTGTAGATTTCTTTATTTCAAGTTTTGACAGACTGCAAACTGTAATTGGACCGTTATATCAAATTCGTGTAGATTTCTAATGAGTTTTCTACAGGCTTTATGAACTGTAATCAGGCCATTATATTTTGTGAATGGAGAAGTATTGGTGTTAACTTCTCTTGAAGTTGTTGAGTTATTGTTTATCATAGATGAATATTCACTTAACCTTTATACCTCTATCCTCATCTAATGCTAGATTGTGATATGAAATTATTAATGCTTACCGGAAGAGCATCAATCACCACCATGTTGCCAATTTAATGTAGACCAGTGTCTATTCTTCATTCAATTTTGAGCAAATTGTACCTTACACCCTTCAACTTTTGGCCATGTGTATATTAGACCTTGGGTTCAAATTATGTGCATAAACCTCCCTGTAGGGGAATATGTTTTAACCTGATAATACCATTAATAATTAATTACATAATCCAGATTTAGATGGAAAACTAAGATAATGCTGTTTTCTCTCATAACACTTGTATCATTTGAGGTTAAACATAATTTAATGGTGTTATAAGTGTCACGTGATATTTCTGTAGTATTTTAAAGGTTTTCTAATGTGAATTTCAAGGTATTAGTTGTACTTCATTAAAACCCTAAAGGTTTAATCTGTGTGGCCTAAAGTTAAAGAGCTTAATTTGTAATTTGCACTATTATTTTTCATGTAAATTTAATTTCCTCTTCTGCCTGCCATAGTAGTACACTTCGTTTTTCTGAGTCATTGGCACTGTAAGGTTACATTATATCATTATTTCCTTAGAATTGTGTTTCTGCATTCTTTACAACATTTTAGAAAATGGTTGCTTTTAAGGGAGTTGTGTGCTAATGAAGCTGCACCTTCTCTATTTAGTTGTTTGGCATTCTACATGCAAACTTTTTAAAAATTTATTCTTAAGGAAACATTTTAACTTGTGACTAATTTTTATTAAATCTTTGTTCTAGGTTGGGAATTTTAGGGTTGAACCACCAGGATTGTTCCGAGGCAGAGGAGAGCACCCCAAGGTTGTTATAATAGTTGTTACTGGAACTGGATACATTTAGATTTTCAGATACAATGGTTTCATTTATAGTTGCTTCATATTCAGAAGTTTGCCTGGCTTCTACAGTTTATAATGTATACTTATTGACTGTGTTTTATTATGCTAGATGGGAAAATTGAAAAAACGCATTCATCCAAGTGATATCACAATTAATATTGGAAAGGATGCCCCAATTCCTGAATGTCCTATTCCTGGTGAAAGGTATGACTATTCTAAATCTTATTGGACTTGGAGGACAAATTTTAAAAGCAAAGGAATGTTGTATATTCTACCAAGTTGAAAGCCGGTTTTTCTAAACATTGAATTGTGTATCCTTGGCAGGTGGAAGGAGATAAGACATGACAATACAGTTACATGGTTAGCCTTTTGGAATGACCCTATCAATCCAAAGTTATTCAAGTATGTGTTTTTGGCTGCTAGTAGTTCCTTGAAGGGGCAAAGTGACAAGGAAAAGTATGAGAAAGCCAGGATGTTAAAGGTGCTTTAATGTTGTGTCAGCTTTTATGAGTTTTCTCGGTATTTTTGGATGGCATTAAAAGAACCTGTCTAATTTTCATTGTTCTTGATATTTGGGTGCAGGATTATATTGCGAATATTAGGTCTGCATACACAAAAAATTTTACCAGTAAAGATATTACGAAGCAGCAAATTGCTGTTGCTACTTATCTTATTGATAAACTAGCTCTGAGGGCTGGCAATGAGAAGGTATTATGTTGGTATATGCACGTGTGCACTCTCATTTGTTGTAATTGCAACTTATCCTCTTCACCGAAGCATAGATATACATACAAGATGTCAAGACACCCATTTATTTTGTTAGGACTTAGTAAATTGACTCTTTTTTTGTTAATTTGTCTGCCAAGCACTTCTAATTTCATTTAAATTGCCTAAGTATCTGAAGAGAAAATTAATCAGATACTACTTCCTCGTTAATATTTGTTTTTACAATCATGTATTCATGTTTATAAATGTATCGATCTATTTATCTATATATATATCTATATATATATATATATACTAGTCAAAAAAAGGCAGCCTGGGTAATGTTATCAGTTGTTGCCCTAAAGTCTTGCTTGTTAGATGGTGTTATCTTGACTTTGGAATAAAATTCCTGAGCTTTTGATGGTGCAATCCCTGCAGTTAATAATGTATATATTCTTAAAATTTCTTGTAATAACTTGGTCATGAAATGAAGCTGTCCTATCCTAGTGTGTTTGATGAATATTTCAATTTTTAATTGTTAAATTTGGTTATTTCTGAATTGCATTTGTGCAGGATGATGATGAAGCTGATACTGTTGGTTGCTGCACATTAAAAGTAGAGAATGTGACAAGAGAACCCCCCAACAAACTGAAGGTATTGGGTTTCTAATTATTTTCACTGTATTTTGTGGTTGGGAACTTGAGATTGATGATTTTTAAGTCCTTCAGGAGTTTTCTAAGTTTAGTAGTCTTCCTTAGTAATTATACTTGTTAGTGACCTTGTCTCCTTTCTGTTTTAATGCAGTTTAACTTCCTTGGTAAAGATTCTATCAGGTATGAAAATACAGTTGAGGTTGAGCTTCCTGTATATAATGCAATTTTTAAGTTCCAGAAAGGTGAGACACTGGTTCTTCTTTTTATTATTTTATCTTTCAAGCATGAAGCTGAAGCACTGAAGTATATTTCCGCCTGCAATTTTCAGATAAAGGCCCTGGTGATGATCTTTTTGATATGTTGGATACAAGTAAATTAAATGCTCATCTGAAGGAACTCATGCCTGGTTTAACAGCAAAAGTCTTCCGTACATTCAATGCATCAATCACATTGGATGATATGGTATAATCTGTTTGACACAAAATTCCTGAAATTAACGTTCCCTGTAGATAAAACAAAGGAAAAGATCATTCCCTTGTTCTGTTTTATATGCTCTAATTCTCGGTATGGACTGTCATTGAATGCCCCAAAAAAAAAACAGTTGAGATAGCATGCCTCTTAGATCTATCTCTCTTTGTGCAGGGCCATATAAAAACTTTTGTATTTAATTTATATAATATAATGGCTCTGCACAAATAAAAGAACACTTCATTGTAAAATTGTCTCGTCTCTTAAAATTGTAATGCATCCCTTAAATGCTCTAGAATATCTCATGTGCTATCAATATACCCATAGTCAATTATACATTTATTAAATAATGTATATGCTATGATTTCTTTTATTGGTAATTAAGTTGTATATTATAGACTTACATACTTGTTTTTTATGTAATTATGTGATGGCAGTTGAATAAGGAAACTAAAGATGGAGATGTTGGGGAAAAAATTGTTGTTTATCAGCATGCAAATAAACAGGTGAATTGGCTAAAAAGTGTTGCTGTATTATGCCTATGATATTGCATTTTAGTATTTTATTTTTTCACATTCAAATTGTAATGACTTGGGTTTTTCATAACAGGTTGCTATCATTTGTAATCATCAACGTAGTGTTTCAAAATCTCATGGTGCACAAATGTCAAAGTTAAATGAAAAAATTGATGAACTTCAGGTATAATGAGAATATCTGAAAATTGTGAATCTGGGACTGCATGATATTTTTTGAATTTAGAGTAGACTTGGTTTTTATCGCCCATTAACATATTACCTGGTGGTTTATCTTTACTTGTAGGCTGTTTTGAAGGAGCTGAAAACGGATTTAGACAGGGCAAGGAAAGGAAAGCCCCCTTCAAAGAGTTCAGATGGAAAGAGAAAAAAGAGCTTAACTCCTGAAGCGTAATTTAGCTTTTCGTAACATCTTTTACCATCAGGTGTTTGAACATGATGTATGATTGTGGTTTATGTAATCTACAGGCTAGAGAAAAAGATATCTCAAACCAATGCAAAAATTGACAAAATGCAACGTGATATGAAGACAAAAGAAGATCTGAAAACTGTGGCATTAGGCACATCCAAGATAAACTACCTTGACCCCAGGATTACGGTTGCCTGGTGCAAGCGGCACGAGGTTCCTATTGAAAAGGTGCTGGCTTCTTCATTTGTTCTGATTAAGTTATTGTGTTGTGTTATCAATGTGAAACGGGGGTGGTGTGATCTGGTGGGGCCATGTTCATCCTCAAGTTTTTTAAGTATATTTAAATAATTACAAAGAATATCTTGTGGCCCCCTAATATATATATATATACACTTTATCCATTTAATGTATTCTTTTTCTTATATATTATCTTTGTACACAATATAATTATATATTTTTTATTTATAAGAAAATATTAGTTATATATTAAATTTCTTACATGTGGAAAATTAAATTTTCTTTATCAAGTATATTTTTCTTATTTTTGTCTCCTTTAGGCCAAAGTTTTGACTTCGCCTATCTAGGAGTGTGTGTATATGTGTGTATATTTTCCCAACCGATATAAACAAATAAAGTATCGGATAGTGCATACATGATGCCTCAATAGTGAGCGAGATAACACTATGGGCTGGTTGCTGCATTTTCATTCATGCTTGTGTGGTCAAACTGACATAGTTATGATCCGATGCTTGATCTTGATTGGTTGCATGTTTTCCTTAATCTCATTTTGTTACTTACCTGTGCTACTTGCTTGAAATCTTCAGATTTTCAACAAATCTCTTCTGGCGAAATTCTGTTGGGCAATGGATGTAGATCCCGATTTCAGATTCTGAGATACATAGAATGGAGCCATGTTGATGATGAGGAGAAACATTTCTTTTTTACTTATTTCTTTTTTATAAAATTATTTTTTTCTGTTGTCAATTTTAGCGGAAATTGATGTTGTAAGTCCATCTAATCTAATTATGGGGTGAGTTGCCCCTTCTTCATTGACAAGTTTTTATACTTGAACTGTTAACCATTCATAGTCATGATTTTAATGTGATAAACATGCCAAATGTGAAAAATGAGTTAAAGTTTCAGTCTTAATTTATTTTTATTATTCTGTGATTAGTTTTTGTTTTTGCCTCTGGAAAGATAACAACTAGGAGAATTAAAGGAAAGCAATAAAGCATATACTAGTCAGAAGTCCTAGGGTGGAAGCTTGAAGTGACCTTGGGGGTTTTCAAGACACTTCCACAACTACTAAACGAAACTACTCCTAAAAACTAATTAATTTAAGAGGCCAATTACAACCCCAATTGAATGAATAAGGACCAAGATAAAAGTGGTCCACTCAAAGACAACACAAATAGGCGCAAAAACAAGAGTAAAGAAATAAGCAAGAAAATTCTTCAAACTCCAATTTGGTGCTCCCTTCACAATGAACAAACTTGGTTAGCTTCCTTCTAATGTGTTTGGCACTCTATGTTTGTAAGGAATCCCTCCCAAAGCTATTTTAAATTCATGGCTAACTCCTTCAACTCAATCTTCCCCAAAATTGCTTGGAAATGTGGAAGTAGGCTTCATCTACACCAAGTGAAACAAACCACCAAGAGAAAGAAAGGAGGCAAAATAAATAAAAGCTAAAAATGCTCAATTAGGAAGGCTAAAATCAAGGGGAATATTGATGAGACAAAACACAAGGAGTTCCAAGAAAAACAAGCAAAAAATTAAGGCACATTTAAGAAGGTAAGCACTCAAAGGGAAATCCTAGAAGGGTTCTAGAATATAATTAAGTGTTTAATGTTCCTTGTCCTTAAAATTAATGTGAGGTCTTTTCCTTAATGTCCAGCCACGGTTTTGGTCATAAAATGGGTCCAAATATCGGTCCAAAAATGGTCCACTTGCCTTAAGTGTCCTATGTGATTACTTAGGCACCTACTATCATCAAAATAAACTACAAAAAACTTTCCTATGCAATCCCTTCGAACATGATTCATGAGACGCATGAAAGTACTAGTAGCATTGGTGAGCCCAAAGGGCATCACTAGCCATTCATATAATTCAAACTTGGTCTTGAAAGCGGTTTTCCATTCATCACCTTTTATTCTAATTTGATTGTAACCACTTTTAAGATCAACTTTAAAAAATATAATGGCTCTATGAAGCTCATCTAGCATGTCATCAAGCCTAGGGATAGGATGTCTATATTTTACAGTAATTTTGTTGATGGCCCTACTATCACAACACATTCTCCATTTCCCGTCCTTTTTAGGGACCAACAACACAGGTACAACATAAGGACTTAAGCTCTTTCAAACCCAACCCTTTTCCAACAAATCTTAAACTTGAAACACTATTTCCTTAGTCTCTTGGGGGTTGGTCCTATAGGCTGGCCTATTAGGTAGACTAGCCCCAAGCACCAAATCAATTTGATGTTTTATCCCTCTTAAAGGAGGAAGGCCCATTAGACCCTCGAGAGGAAATAGATCATCAAATTCTTTTAAAAGAATCAGGTAGAGTCTCATGTCCACTAGATGTGGCAATGCAAGATAGAGTCCCTATACACAAAAGGATAAAAGAGTGTTATTTAATCAAGAGAGTTTATTTTGAAATGCCTTTCTCTTGATTAACAACTTCTAGGGAGAGGGCTTCTTTCTCCCTAGAATTCTCTTTGTCCTTATTTTTCATGGACTTTTTTTTTCTCTCTTTTCTTTTTTTTTTATTTATTTTTTTCTCATTCTCTCTTTTGAGTTTCATTTGTGCTTGATCCTCTGCCACCTGTTGAGGAGAAAGAGGATGAAGCACAAATTTCTTTTCTTTATGTGTAAAGGATATCTCATTAGTAAGGCCATTATGCATGGTTTTTTTATCAAATTGTCATGGCCTCCCTAATAAGATATGACAAGCTTTCATTGGTACTACATCACATAGCACCTCATCCTCATACTTCCTATTGAAAAGCTTGACCTTTACTTGTTGGTCAACTACTAAGTCATCATCCTCATTAAGCCAATGAAGTTGATAAGGTTTAGGATGAGGACTAGTAGTTAAACTCAACTTCTCAACCAGCTTAGTGCTACAACAGTTGCACCATGATCCATTATCAACAATGAGAGAACAAGTATTGTTAGAAACATTAAATCTTGTATGAAAGATGTTCTCTCTTTGTGATAGAGTACCACTAGGTTGGTTGTTTAGGAGTCTCCTAATCATTAAGAGCTCCCCCTCATAAGGAAAAGTTAACTCCACATTCTCCTCATGATCATTTGCTTCTTCCTCACTATCACTAGAGGAAGTAGTTGTCTCTTCTTGACTACTATAAGTGTCATGCCCCCTTAAGATCATGACTTTCTTTGTGGGGCATTGGGAGGCAATGTGGCCTCTCCCTAAACACTTAAAGCATTTAATATCACTAGTCCTAGAACTAGTGTGTGAAGTGACCTTCCCTTTTCCTTTGTCTTTTTCTCTAGCTAGATCATTGGAAGGTTCCAAAAAAAAATTCTTTTCAAATGATTTTCCCTCCCTCTTGTAATCTTTCTTTAGAGATGAAGAGTGGGAGTTTTCTCTTTTAAAAAGGATTTTCTCAATTTTTGTTGTTCTATCCTTACACAAATTTGGACCAAATCATTTAGGTCCTTGTAGGGTAGTAGCTCCACTTGGTCTCTTATCTCTAAATTAAGACCACTCAAGAATCTAGCTACATTTGTAGCCTCCTCTTCCCTTATACAAGCCCTCATCATATAAAGCTCCATTTGTTACCTGTACTGTTCTACAAACATATCCCTTTGATGGAGCCTTTGGAGCTTATTCATAAGCTCCCTACCATAATAGGTGGGAATGTGTCTCCTCCTCATGGCATTCTTAAGATCATTCCAATGTTGGATAGTAGGGTCATTATGGAGGAGTCTTTCTCTTTTTAAGGTCGTCCACCAATACATGGCATGCCCTTCGAAGCTAAGGGTAGCCAGAGGGACTTTCCTCTCTTCACTCACCTTGTGGCAAGCAAAGAGTTGCTCAACCTTCATCTCCCAATCTAGATATGTCTCCACATCATCCTTACCTAAACATTGTGGGAGGTCAACCTTGACTTCCCTAGGCCTAGATACTCTTCTAGGCGTAGGTTGATAGTGGTCCCCTATATTCAAGCTTTCATTAGGGGAAGAATATTGGGAGTGTGAGCTCCTACTCTTTCTCTTTTGTTTTCTTAATTCTTCTTTCAATTTTTTCTCCTCTTGTTTAACAAGTCTCAACTCCTCTTCAAGGATAGCAAGATAGGCCTCTCTTTCAATTTTATCCTTCTCTTTTTGAATGGCCTCTTGCTTCCTCCATAGTTTAAGTGACTTAAGCTCTTTAGTTAAGTATGAAATGCTTTTTGGAGAGCTGTCACTTCCACTATAATCAGATGGTTGAGACATTTTAAACAAATAGGTATTTTCAAAAAAAAAGTTTTTAAAGAAAATAATATTTTTGAAGTGCTAGACTTAGCACTTAGAGGTCTAAGAGTACAAACTAAACTATGGAGGGAGGTGAGCTACAAAGAGTCACTTAATAACCAAGCCTCTTCAAGTAAAAATCTCTAAACTCCCTTGTACTTTGCCTTGCACAAAAATGTTTTCACAAATTTTTTTTCAAAAGGAAAATAACAAGCAAGTGCCTAATGTGTACAATTAAGCAATGCAATCAAGACTTGAAAACATAAATTGCATGAAAACATAAATTGCTTAAAACATAAATTGCTTGAAAACATAAATTGCTTAAAACATAAATTGCATGAAAATTTAAAGACAAGAAAACATAAACTAGGCGTATGAAGCTTTAAACCTAGGTGAGAGCTTGGAAAGTACCAAAGACTTCCAAGGACCACTCTCACATGTACTACATGAATTACCCTAATGTGAAAACACTAAGGAGAGATTCAAATGCACCAAAAGCACTCCAAGACACTCCTAAAGGCCTTGTACAAATGAAATGGAAATTTACAAGAAATGAAATGCAAATTTACACCAAATGAAATGTAAATTTGCACCAAATAAAATGTAAATTCACACCAAATGAAATGTAAATTCACACTAAAGGAAATGTAGTGGCTGCACCAAATTTTAGAAAACAAAATTCAGCCACTAAATTAGTGACAAATTTAGAGACGGATTTAACAAGGAAAAATTTTGTGACAAAAATTTCAGTCTCTAAACTAGTCTCATTTTTCACAAAATTTCTCAAAATTTGTTTGCTCCTTCAAGTTCCTTTTAGCTGCAGAAACTCTCCAAATGTTTCATTCTTCTCTTAGGAATAACCTTGATGTTGGTTATTCCTAGGTGTTTAAGCTTCCAAAGCCTTCCTCCAATGGAGAAACTAGCTTCTTAAGCCACCACAAAACCTTCCAATTTTGGCTTTCTTTGTAGCTTGGCCTTCCACACCTTCAAGAAGCACTCAACACACCTTAAGTTGCTGGAATATATAGTAAAAACTGAAAAATAAAAATTAGGAGAAGCTACACCAAATGGTGGAAATAGATGAGACAAAACTAGAAAGAATTCCAAATGATGACAAGCAAAAATTAAGGCATCAAAGAAAGGCTAGCACACAAAGGAAAACCTATCAATGGCACTAGAGTAGATTACAAAAACAAAATCTAAGATTAGAAAATTAAAAACTCAATGTAAGCACACAAAGCTATGGCTGGACAGAAAAATAAGGCAAACACCACACAAATCCGAGAGCATTCAAACACCAATTTCAACTCCTTTTTGGCTTTTCTTTTGTTCTTTCTTTGTTCTTCTTTTTGCAATTTTTTTCACTTCTTTTTCTTTTACAACACAGGAGTATTAATTCCTTTTAAACATGTATAAGTCTCGGATTTAATGAGGTAAAACTGCTACCAAAAATTTCACAAAATAAGAGGTATACTAGTGAGATTGTTTTTCTAGTGCTTCATAATTTTTGAACAAATTTTTAGTCAATTTTCAAGCACGCTTTTCTTTTGTTTTTCCAATGCTTTTGAACACTAATACCTCTATTTTTCCTCCTCTGTTTTGAGAACTTAAAAAGTGATACAAGTTTCAGCCACAAAACAAAAATGCAAGGAAACCTAATAGGAGAGTGTT